CTGGGGACCGGGGTCAGTGGTGGCCTTGGCAGCTCTGGGCTCCCTAAAAGTCTGTGAGAAACCAAGAGCTGTCCTGTTGAAAAATCAAGCCTCCTCATTCAGTACATCAAAGGGGAGAGGGGAGAAAAATGCACTCGTTTTCACTGGTGCACAAGTCTGAAGTGCTCCTCACTGGCTAAAAATGACACCACATTATCAAACTCATTCCAGCTGCTGCAAGAAGCAAATGAACAAACAAGGGCAAGCTTTAATCCTGGTCCCCTTTGGGAATTAGATTTGTGAGCTCATCCTGTTTATGCCAGATTTCTGGAAGGGGTCAAAACAATCAAGAGACTCAAACAAAGATTCATCATCCTTGGTGGCAAACAAAGTTCCAGAGAGGAGAAAGTGATTTCCAAGAACACAGAAACTGCTCTGTGAATTTAATACTTACTAAGCAAGGGAGAAATGATGAAAGTCAAGTTGTAAACACCCTAATCATGTGGAAAACTTCCAATGGGAGCTCAAAACTTCGCAGACACAAACCAAGGGTGCCACTTGCAGAAAACTAAGCTGAGGTTTGGCTCTGAGGCACCAATCAGAGCTCCTTGAACTTTTACAGGGGAAGGAACGTAGTGGAGTCTGGGGTGAAAAAACATCCCTACCCCAAATCTGGACAATGGATTAAAGAGCAACACAGAAGGTGTTGGAGCAAGAACACAATTGTGGTTGATTTAGGATAGGAATTCAAGGTAACAGTTGCTGTCTGTGTTCATCATGGTGAGCGGACAGGGCTGAAGGGTCTGGTCCGATTCAGTCAGGGCAGCACTGAGGAATGAGACAGGCTGTGCATGGCCACGGCCTTTCCCTTCTCCACACTCTTCTCTCCCAGTTTAATAAAACTGCTCTTCCACTGCACCAACACAAAGCATCAGAAAGTCTCATCCCAAGCCAGGCAAAGGCACCAGTCACAACAAACACGTGGCACTGAAAGCACAATGATTTTAGATTTCACTGGCTACACCCACTCCAACAACGCAAACTCACCACCTCTAATCAAGGGAAGGATCTTGCACCTCCAAAAGCTAACAAGGCGGCAACTGCTTCCCCCAAAGGACACTAAGGCACTGAGCACACCTCCCTTTCAGTCTGTTGTCTGCTGGGTTGTAACACAGCAGTGAAGGATGGGTATGCTGACAGCAGCCACAGCAGCCAGGTTTCTCAAGCTAAGTTCACATGAAAACATCACTCTTAGAGCCACTGGCGTGATTTGTGTTGCAAACACATGCCTGGAAATGTTCCTCCACGCCAGGACCGAGGTTCCTGTGAGGACATGTGAAGATATAAGAAGATAAGAGAGTGATCACAGCAATTTCTTGGGCAGTCTCGAGACTGCCAAACCAACCCATACCTAATGAATAAAGGCACTGTTAAGCATTTTTATCTGCCTCTCCCGTGTTTTCCTGTATTTATTACAAAGCTCCAAAACCCAGAAAGAAATCTGACACTCCTCAGTCCCTCAGATGCTCCTTGTTCCATGTTCACAGGCCTGACACACATCCACCGTCTGCCTCCACGAGATCAGAGGAGCCAACAAATGGAAAACACATTAATATCTGAGTTGAAGCCATTTGGTGAGCGGGTGACAGCGCCAGGATTCAAGACCTTGGAATTCAAACCCTGGGCTCATTTCTCCAAGCTGCAGCTGCCAAGTGATCACATTTGTGACTGATCTCAGTTGCTCAAGTGGTCAAAGCTCTGTTTATTGCTCCCTACAGCCCGAGGAAAATCCAGCAAAGGCAGTGCCCGCAGCCACCTGGCACTGCCTTGGGACGGGGACTCGGATCCAGCTCCATCCCACAGCCAGGGATCACCCCCCAGGGGCTGCCAGCACAGGATATTTCCTGCCTGAGCTGCGGGATCACGGCTTCACCTGCAGCTCTGAGCAGCTTCCAGCACTTGTCAGACGATTCTGCTCCTCCATCCTGCTCAGCCCTTGGATCAAGAGGGAATGTTTTCCTTTTCTGAACAGATTTGGGGAGGAATGTGCCAAAGAAGAACTGCACCATAGTGATGCTGAGGGGGGAAGTGCTGACTATATTTATCCTCACAGAATTTGCAAGTCAGAGCACAAATCCACTTATGCTTTTTATTTTAATTGAAAACCATGCAATAAAAATACAGCTTGATGGAGGAACGAGATTTTAGCATTTGCTAACAAATTTGCTATACCTGACTTTGCTACCTATCATGAAAGGATAAAATAAACCCAAAGCACTTTTTATTAACTACTGCTCCCTGTATCACCAGGATGATTCATACGATCGGTGTGAGGCACACCTTGGACAACAGGAACAGCACTGCCCTGACAGTCTGTGCAGGTTTATTAATTTCAGCCTGAGTGGAAGGGAACAAGGATGCAGGAAGGGTTCCCAGCTCTGCATGGCACTGCCAAGAGCATGGCCCTGCCCTCTCCTTGCAGCATTACATCAGCAGAGCTGCCCCCCAGGGAGTTGGAAACAGCTCTTCTAGAACAGTTACACTGAAATCATGCCAAAACTTGGCTAAAACCATAAGCAAACACGAAGGAAGTTATTACTAAAAAGGCAGAGGAAGCAGGGGACAGAAAGCATTTCTTCAGGACCAAAGGCTACAGGATAAGTTCCTGCCACTGCAAGGACCTGCCCCAAAAGGGACGTCCCTGCCCTAAACAGAACCACCTGCTGCTTCTATTTCCTGAGTACTGGAGATAATCCAAGTCCCAGCACAGACCAGCAACCACCCACCTTGAAACTCCTTTTATTTTCACTCTGAGCATTTTCATCACAATAACCAAGCACACAATGAGATGCCTCAGCCCTTGAGGAGCAAACACAGGAATTCCAGAGCTACACTGAGCCCCCACATTACCTGAGCTGTTTGATTCACAACTGAGACACTGAGGAGCAGCTCTGCCATGACAAATCATGTGAATCATGTGATCTCTGTTGCCATAGCAAAGTACTACACTGGGATTCACCTCTCAGAGATACCACAAAAGATCAGAATAATCTTGGTCTTGGGAATACTGTGGGAATGTGCAGTAAATCAATGCCTTCAAAAATATCAAATTAATCATACAGGACACAGCTTGTGGTGTAGGGGAGTTTGTTACTGCTTCTATACAGGTGGTGGGGCTGTTTTTAAAGTGTCAGGGCTACAATCAGGCACAAATGTTTACAAGAGAAAACTTTAGAGAGGTAAATCAGTGTTGAATAATTACAGTTGTTACCCAGACTGGCTAAGGATGACCTGGACCCGTCCACCAGAACCAGTCAATCCTTCCTCAGAGTCCCCTCCATATGGCCAGTAAACATCAAACCTTCCTCCTGCCCTCTCCAAACCCTCCCTGCAATGCTGCACATCCTCCCCAGACCCTGCTATGACCCAGGAAGCAGCAGGATAACTTACTCGGTTTCTCCTGGTCTAATTAAATGAGATTAAACTACTGGTTTTAGTCTTGCAGATATACCTCTATAGTACTATTACTTCATATTAAACACACAAGTCCAAAAGAAAAAAAAAAATCCAGAAGTTTTCAGCACAATTATTTTTTTCAAACAAGACTTGTCAAAAAAATTGACAGGGAAAAGGCAAAGAGCTTATAAAAATATTTTCAAATGTACAATTCAAATTATCCCACTTCTGCACATCAGTCTCCTGGCTTTTCATAATACTACTTAATGGGAAATACTCATTCCAAGAGAAATCATTAGAGTGTGGTTGAATTCTGATTTCCCTCAGCCCTCTCATTCCCCCCCTGACTTACATAACTCTCGATTTATTCACAATCCTTGGGCTCATTTAGCACAGGACTTCACACGAAGGTCAGGCAATGCTTTTAACTGATCTTTTGCTAGTTTCATTTTTTCGGGAGACCACAAATCTCTAGATTATCAAATACAGGTGTTTCCCAAAAGATAAAACAGGCTACAATCACCATTTTCTTACTTGTCAGAGTGCAACCATCACATTATCTCTACAGAAAAGTGGCTCCCTAAGCCATATTTTCCAAATTAAAAAACATCCCTGTCAACCGGCAACCCCTTCTCCTGCTTTTTCATATTCACTGGCTGTTAGCAAGCTGAAGCACCATTTCCAAATATAACACAAGTTGTTTGTGGAAGAAAATGATGAAAAGCATCAGGGAAAGAGATGAGCTGAAGGATGACTCTGCTGAATTCCTTGTAAGTACCTCTGAACCAGAACTCCAGCACTGGCATGGTCAGACTCGACAGAACTGTCCCTGCCTGACGCTCCACTCAGCACACATCTCCAATTCAGTGAAAGGTGCAGATGTTCCAGCCAGAACACAGCTGGTGACAGCCACAGTCGCTCAGAGCATGTGCTCTGTGCTTCCCTACCCAAAGGCTCAGCTCTTCTCAGTAGCAAGATTTACACCACGAGGCAGCTGCCCAGGGGGTACAAAACACCTCCTCTGGAATTTTCCGGACAATGAGTCACGTTTCACCTCACCAGCAGATTTTTATCACCACCAACTGGCAAATGTAGATTTTAGGCTGTTGCAGGTAGCAGCCAGAGAGAGATCAGCACTCTCACCACTGAATTCCATCCCCCAGTGGGTAGTCAGGATGAAGGAACTCACCACAGAGTAAAGTCCTGAAGTGTGAGGTTCTTGCTGAACAACACCACAAGACTACAAGAAAGAAATATTTCTGCCTGGCAGATGTAACACAGCATTACTCTGGGATTCAAGAGAACTAAAGGGGGAGCCCCAGCTCAGATGAACATCTAGGATTAAAAGTGACATCATAAAACTCAGCACACTGAACTCATCCACTCCCTTTCAAGTTAAAGGGCACAGAAAGTAGTTGAATGCAGTATTAGTTCCACACAAGCAACCCAAAATTTTTAAGAGTTTGATCTAAGGACCTTCTGCAGGAGGTCAGACACCACATCCACAGCTCAAGGCTGCTTGAAGGGGTTCTGCTGCACCTCCTCACCACAGGCTGTGTAAGATCTTAGGTTCAAGCAGTGTCAAGCAAGAAGAGTTTAACAGCAACACATCTACATCTCTTTAGAAACCTCTCCTGTCTCTCCTGGACAAGGGAGTGTGGAAGAGGGGAAGAACTTCTGTTCTGCTCCTCCCTTCTCACTGCATATCAAATGATTTCACTCTTCAGATTCCGAGAATAAGATTAAAATTGGATGCAAATGTTTCCTTCCTGACATTTTATATTGGGATTTTTGGCCCAGTCTAAGATTCATGCAGAAAGGTCACTGGATAATGAATTAAACACTCCCAACACAATCATCACCAATGCCACAGGCAACAGGCACAGGCTCTGGTTGCTGAGAACTCAGAGGAGCAAAGCTGGAGCAGCAGCAGCCTCCCTTCCACATCCTCTGCCTGCCCAGACCTTTGGAGAAGCTGGCTGGCAGCTGGACAGGGCACATCTCCCTTCCAAAAGGGCTGAAATTCCTGCACATGCTCCAAAGCCTACATTAGGAAGGCTTCAGCACTGCACTGGGTTAAACTGGGTGGGTTATTTTCACTCCTGTGCTCCTGTGACCATGCAGGAGGCACAGGAAAGGCTTCAGAACCCACATCCACGATTTGCCTGTAGCTTCCATATGGCCCCAATCAGCAGAGCTCCAATGACATGTGAGAGATTCAGAACAGCTCCAGCGCAGCGACAGGCACAGTGGGAACATCCAAATCTGAACAAGACTCCAAGCGCAAATTCCTGCTAGGCCCACCTAGACACCACCACCCCCTGTCCCAACTCCAGACCTAGTCCCATAATCCATGCTCACTCCATCACATCTAAGCCTGCAGCGCCCCAGGCCCTTGGGCTGTGCCTTGGGATCCACCCAGGGCTGGGACAAGGCTTTTCCCTCTTTCAAGTCTCTGGGTTTCCACACTAGTGACATACAGAGTAATACAGGGCACCCACAAGAGAGACCACACTGAGTTCCACCCCATGATGCACATCCCATATGCCAAAGGAAAGGACCAGAGGTGACAGCTACAATCCCCACCTGAGGTATGGCCCCAGCAGGGACACGAGAAGACTGGAGTGTGCCATGCATCAACCAGAGAACTCCAATGAAACCATGTTAGAGGAAGCCAGAAGCATTAACCAGGAAGGCAGTCCTGCCTGAGAGGTTAGAGAGCCTAAGTCCAAGGGATTAATAAGCATTCTCAGAGTGTGGAGAACTCGTTACCTCTGCACAGTCCTGCACAGCACAGACACCCCCATCTCTAACAGGCTCACCCGTGGAAGATGGATTACAAACTCCCAGGTCTTCAGACTACAGGCATGGGAACACGAGTGAGTTATTGAGGGGCTCAGGGCACAGCTTTCTACAGAAACGGGGTTTAGTGTCACAGGAAGAACTCGGGCTTAACACAGCAAGGTTTGGTGTGTGCTGGGTTAACCAGCACTTTGGTGTCCTAGTGAGATTTGCTAATCCCTGGGAACAGGACTAAACTGCTGGGAACAGGAATAAGGCCAGTCCTGTGGAGAAACCAGGAGTGAGCCTCTCCCATCCAGAGAACCTCTGTCACCACTTTCCATCTTCAGTGGGCCCTTTCCTGGCCTTCTAACGGCTTCTGACCCCGGTGAGCACTGACAGATCATGGCAACTGCCCCAAAACTTTAATTCTTTTAATACCAAAGCATCAGCACAATTGGAAGCTGTGCCACTCCCTGTCAGTGTGGGAAGTGAATCCTCCTCCCTCCACGTTGACCTCACACATCCACCACACACACAGCTCTAACCTGTACCAACAAGTGAGGCAGCAGCTTCCACTTGCAAACTGCCAAATTTGAAACTCAACAGTGCATTCGTTTGGATATATTAATAATGGAAAGAAAATCTAGTCTAGGAACAAAAAGAAGAAATAATTTTGTTAAAGACTGAGGTGGGAGATGAAGGTTTCAGACATGAGGGACTGGACTTACCCTGCAGTGACTTTCCCAATCCCTGGCCCAGCTTCCACCCATGTTTCTGGAGTAAGCGATGTCCAATATTATCCTGACAGACAGAACAGAGAAAACAAACCAAAAATATTCCAATAATATATTCTTCCCTTCCCGCTGACATTTAAACATGTGATGAGCAAGAGATTTTTCTACATATATATGCATGCAAAAAAATGCTACTGAAAAGGCAATATATGCCCAATAAAGGGAAAGACAAATGTCAAAAATTACTGGCTAGAATTTTTCCAGGGGGATGGGTATTGGGGACGGTCACTTTCTGATGGTGTGCTGGGCAACTTTTGTGCATCACGTTTAAAAGAAATTAAAAAATAATAAAAATAAAAAGCAATGTGGGAGAAAATAAAGTGTACCAATAAAAATTGACCAGTAAAAAGCATAAAATCAAGCTATTTATACAATCATATCCATCACCTAGACAGCACCACTTAAGATTTTTTTGGTAAAGAAAATCTACAATGTGTTTAGTCATTTTGTTTGTGTGTCAGGCTTTTATAATACTGAGTAAGTTGTAAGTGCAAGACTGCCCCACCACTAGAAACCAAAACACAATCAGAGCAAAATCCAGGCTAGACTTGATTGGGTTTTTTTTATATATGTATATATATATATATAAACTAGCATGCAGCCAATATTAAACTGAAAAAAACAGTGAGGTTAGTAAAAAAAAAAAAAAAAAACAAAAAAACAACAAAACAATTAAATAAAATGAGCTCAAGCACAGACTGGGTGATGCATTTCACATGTAAACTAACAAAAATACTAAGATGTTAGAATGAAACAGGCCTAGCAATAAGTTAACAGCAAGGAACCATTAGTGCATGTAGGGGAAACAATAAGCATAATGTCTCATCTTCCTAAAAAAAAAAAGAAAACAAAACTATTTTAGAATAACTGGAAAAGTACTGACGCAGCAATTAAGTGTCAGCTTTTGGCAATGGGGCTGAGCAGGGCTCAGTGTGGAAATTGCTGTGTTTTGTGCAAGGTTTCTGCCCCCAGACAAAGAGCAGAGCACTCACAGCTCCCTGGAACCATCTCAATCTGCCAGCTTGCCCTTAGTGACCACCTCCTCAGAGAGGGACTCTTGGCTGGGACCATGTTCATCTTCTAATCACAAAAAATAAGAATTAAAATCAGATATAAACTTGTTGATTATTAATTATCATCAGGCAAACCACAATCCAACGCATCACAGAAATACCCTGAATTATAACAGGATGTGACTCCATAACACTGAGTGGTACATGGAATATTAAAAAATAATTATATCTATATGCTGCAAGTTTCTTTAATTTAATTAATTTAATTTAATTACAGTCATCAACAGAAACCAGAGTAGGTTTTGTCACTCCACAGTGAAGAAAATGACCACAGGGTTTGCACAACTTTGGTAAATCAGCTTGAAAGGCACAAACTTCCCAAAGATATTGGCTGCATGGACACATTTTTCCTCAAAAAGATGTTATCATGTACAAATTTTGGATTTTTTTTTCTGATATCCTAGTAAAGTCAAACATTTTGTATTCCTGTATTTCCCAAGGAATAATATGCATTTTCCCCAGACTATCAGCTCTGCTCCAGGACATAATTAGGACTACATGGGGGAAAAAAATTAAACCAGGAGGCATAAGGAAACTTCTGGGTATAAAAAGTTAAATGCAAAAAAAACCCTAAAAAACCAAGGATGGATCCCCACCACAAGCACCATGGAGAAGGCTGTCTGTTGGGAAGAGAGGAAAACTTACCTGCAGGCATACCTGGGCAGGCCAATCCCAATGGCCACAGAGTGCCCCATCCTGGCAGAGAGGGGCTGCAGCTTGGGATGTGTTTGGGATGTGGCACTAATTGCCCTACCCTGACAAAGGAGCATTGAATCTAAAAGCCGGTGCTGACAAAAATGGCTGCGTTTTCCAAAAAGAAAAAAAAAAAATCCAAAGGACAAGGAGTACTTTGCAGTCTTGGCCAAGTGGAGATGAGACATTGTGCTGACTGTGTGTGTTATGAATGCACTAAAATAAAGACAGATGAAGCAGAACGCTATTCCAAAAGCAGTGCAAGTGGAGTGAAAGCATTTCCATACGAACCTGGCTTTAAAAACTGGGCTGTCAAAAGAACAGTTAAATGTAACACAAAGTAAGAAACTGTCCAATCACTAATGGTAGTTTTTTTCTTTTGCTTTGTTTTCAATTCACTGCTTGCAAGTAATGTATTTATTAAAGAAGAGTGAAAGCATAAAATAAATTCAACAAGTCAAGACCAGCTGGGAGATTCAAGAGCGGTGTGTTGTGACTGACAGTGAAGGGGGAAACAAATGTTAAAGGGAAAAAGAAAAATTTAGAAAGGTTATACACATTAGCACCACTTTTACAGACCCACTCAAGAGGATGGTCCCAAGTTGTTTGACATAAATTGGAATTATGCCTGAACACTGCCCTGTCTCAGTTCCCAGGAAGGAGTTGTCTCCCCCACCCCAGACTTTTCTATTTGTTTGTTTATGCAGTGGAACTACTCCCTAATTTTAGATCCTACTCAATTGAAATGGAGCATCTTCTGTTGCACTGAATAAGGAGAACAACTCCAATAATTTAAAATTAACATTTGAGTTAAGACCTGGCCATCACTTTGCTCTTTTCTGGCCATGTTCAGCTCCTCCTTCCTTTTCCAGTGGCTAACCCAGACTTCTGATGGAGGCAGACTGAAAGAACTGCTCCTTCAGTGCAAATGCTGCCCTAAAAATTAAATTATGGAAGGCCAGGCTAGCTTGATCCCATGTGAGAGCCAGTCTGCAGAGCCTAGGGAGTAGCCAGGGACAGTGAAACCAAAATGAAATGGGACAACAAATGTTGCAACAGCAGACAGCTTTCGTTTTTTAAGTGCATTTTTAAGTGAAAATTCTGTAAAAGAACAGCTACTTTCACATAGAAAAGATGGGGCTTTTCACAGCAAGCTTCCTGCCCATGTCAAGAGCTGTCATTCCTTTTGAACAGACTATGCTCACACTGAAGTAGTTTTCCCACAGAAGAGCTGCAGTGATACACAGAAACACCACAGCCCTAGGAGGACACCTCTCATTTCTCAGCAGAGGGCTGGCAAGAGTCTCCTCACTTTCTTTCTCTGCCATTTGGGAGCTCCTTGTGTTACAGCCACAATAAAATTTATTGAGGCAGCCAAAGTAAGTCTCCCAAAAGGTGTCTGGGTGAGCAAGGGAGCTCTCCTGGACCATGTGGGCACAGGCTGTGGGATGCTCCATGGAGAGAAGGGAGAAGGGCTTGGCAGCTCTGGGTGGTACAATGCTAGCTCTGGAGCTGGGCAGCACTAATGGAGAGCTCAGCTCTAATGACAAAGCAGAACTTTTCCAAATGTATAGGAAATGCAAGGCCTTGGGTCCACCAGACCTTCACAGAGCTGGATAAGCTGCTTTGGAAAAACCTCATCCCAAGTTGACTGGGCTCCACCAGCTCTTAACTGCCCTTCCCAATTCCCCATCCTGTGGCCTGACAAGATGCCCTTGCTTGCTTTCCATGGGGATCAATGTTTCCTGAGCAGGATATCCCCAGCACAAATTTCTGATAAAGGTCCTGGCCAATTTAAAAAAAAATTGCTTACAATTAAGAGATGGGTAGAAGAAGCTCAAGGATTTGATGATGCCTGTGAGATGTAAACCACACCACCAGTTTTGCCTAGCACAGGTTTTCCATGAGATCCCCACGATCCCATCGCTCATCCTGGCATGGGCAGGAACCATTCCTCTCTTGAGTGGATTGTAAGCTGTGCTGACTGTGTATGGAGGAATCTATAAGCAAGGATCAGATGCTACTGGGTGAACCCATGCAAACAAGAGGTTGAAAAGATTCCCAAAACAAAACCTAGAGCTCACTACAGATGACACAATGAAGACCAGAGAGAAAAGCCAAATAGTAATGCTACACCATTCAGCTTCCAGAAGCACATTATTTATAGCGCTGTCCACATATGGCTGCTGCTAAATGTCAAATCAGCAGCCTCATCAAATGACACTTTGGAACTAGTGGAGTCCACAGATCCGTACAGATTTCCAGTGCCACAGCCCTGGCTCCGACTCAGCCAGGCTGCCACAGCCCCTGGTGTCCAAGCACCACCGACTGCAGCCTGACACGGGGGGCTCCAGGCGCTCCTCGTGGCACCGAGCAGCATTAGAGAGAGGGGGAAAGGACATTTGTTAGTTAGGACAAGGACAAACTAACAAGCTCCAGGGTAAGTGGGTGATTCCCAGTCTGGCCTCCAACCTGCAGTGGTGACGGCGTGGGTCGACCCCTGACACTGCCTGCACGGGGCCAGGGCTGCTCCTGGGGGGCTCTAAGGGTCTAGCGCTGTCTCCTACTCCATCTGCACTGCTGGGACGAGGAAAACCAGGAATTCACAGCAAAGAGACTCAATAAACAAGTAGAGGTAAGGAATTAACGTGAAGAAAATCGGGATTCTATTAAAGCTGCAATAATTTGTGACTTTCCGTTCAAGTACCTGAACTCAGTGCACTCAAAATGCCCCAAAACAAATGCATGCAGCTTCTTTAATTTAGAAAAAAAGGATGAAGTACTCTGATTTTTCAAGGACACCAGTGATTGCACTGACATGAACAGCCAGTGTAAGTGCAGCATCTTTCAAAGCACAACAAGAAAAAATGTTGTGGGGGGAAAAAAATATAAGTATTTGTAGCTCTGAAGAGTCCATTGATATAAAATACTTTCTTCAATTTAGTAATGGAAAACAGCTGGCACTCGTTCAGGCCACGTCCATCCCTAGATCCTGGCAGCTCTGTTTTCCATAAATGTACTCTGGTTAGTCGCATGTTTCAGTCCAGACATCTTTGGCCTAAACAAGCTGTACACAGCAGGATTTCCACAGGAACACCACCACCAGTAGGCTAACTGAGGACACGTTTCAACAATTGTAATGATCTGTAGACTCCCAAACCTATTTTTCCAGCCACCTTTGAGTTGCATGCTGTAGCAGTACAGTCAGCACCTCTCAACAGATAATGCTGCAGAGATGGATGTCACATCAGTGGGGCCTGTCACAGGGACATGGCACAGGAAACCCTACCCCCATCTCCAAACACCTGCAGGCTTTGGAGCATCTTCCTGTCACTAAGATGTGGGAAGCTGCAAGGAGCACGTTTATGAGAATATACTTAATCCACTCTTCATTCTGAAGAACGACACTTTAACCGGGAAGGGCTTTGATCTACCACAGTTATAAACACAGGATGCTCTTCACCCAAACTGCTCCCATACCACGAAGCACAGGCTCACTCATGACTGTGAACAGATTCTTTGGAAAAGGCCAGTTGGATTGCTAACAGAACCTGTTAAGGATTAAAACCCAATTTGTTAATATTGAAAATACTTAGATGTGTGGTAGTTCTAAAACACAGATTTGCCTTTCCTCCTTCCCTTTCAACTTTGGTTCTGGGTGAGCAAACAGCATAAAACAGAAGGAAAAAAAAGCCAAAAAAGCAGAATGAACATTCCTTTCCTAGTGAAATATCTTGCAGGGGAGGTGCCCCACTGGCCCTTCTGGTAATGTGTGTAATTTGCCAATTTGAAGAGCACACTGATCATTAGTAGTGTGGAAGCAAAATCACCTCCACAGGTGTCAGGAAACACAACAAAGTAATTCCTGCTTCCCAGATGGGGAATTTTAAGAATCAACAACGTATTTTTACAAAGACCTTGTGAAACCTCAGAAGTGACCAGTTGGTCTCTGACTGCAGTTTCTGACACTATGCTTGTTCAGGAAGTCAAAACCCTACCCTGTGCAGCTTTAAAATCCTGACATGGACACTGGCACAGCTGCCCTGGGAAGTGCTGGAGTCACCATCCCTGGAAAGGCTCACAGGCCATGGGGCTGTGACATTTGGGGACGTGGGTTAGGGGTGGCCTTGGCAGTGCTGCGGGATTGGTTGGACTCAATGAGCTTAGAGGGCTTTTCCAACCTTAATGATTCTGTGATTTTCTTATTTCAGGAAAAAAGAAGAGTGCAACAACTTGATTTTAAAGAACAATTTGAGGCTTTAATGCTTTCTCCTCCCAAAATAAGCCATTCTCTCGTCCTCTTCATCCAACTGTTTTAATTAGGTTGAACTGTACCTACCAAGGAGTTGTAAAGATTAAAAATGTCCTGACATACATGAATAAAATATTGAAGCCATAATTTAATTTATTTTTTTCTGCTGCAGTTCAGCATTAATCAAACTGCACAAAGCATTGCTCCTGTGGATGATGAGAGCTGCACAGTGAGCCCATGTGTGCCCAGGGTACCTGCTCATGCTTTACACACTTCCATAGGCATAGATCCCTCTGGAACACTGGAAATGTAATCTGTGACCTCTTCTATTCCTCTCTTTGGGAAAGCACTTTTGGAAATCAGGTAAGCAGTCTAGTCTGTAAGTTGCATTTGAATTATTTTGAAATGCTAATTTCCAGTGTGGCCCAGAGTAGGCTACCAACACATATTTCCCATTATATTTCCATCCAGCTTGACATTTTAATTCAAATCTCCATGTCCCAAGGTAAGACTGAAGTATTCAGGAGAACAGTGAATACCAAGTCCCATCTCTGCAGCATTATCTCATGCGTCATCAATTACTGCCATGCCTAAATCTAGCATCATGCCAGCACATTAAGACAGTAGGTACTATATGCAGTGTTCACTGGACCAGAAGAACAGAAATAAGAAGGGGAAAGGAAACCCTAGAGAAGAAATTAAAAAAGGCAGACCGTGCAATACAAACCAGATCATGGCTGCTTAGCTAATATGGGCCAACTGCTGCGGAAGAAAAATGTCGAACACCCCAAGTTGTGTAAATTTTTGGTAAACATCTAACACATACACACAAACACACACAACACCAACCTACACACCAACAAAAATATAGAGTGGGCTTTGGCTAACACTGGTACTTCTAGGGGCTGACTAAGGTGGAGAAACTTCAACAGAACTTCAATTAATAGGCAAAAGCAACACTTGACAAGTACTTTCTTAACAAAAATCTAGACTTAATCAGAACACCAGTAAGTGTCCCTTGATTATTCACTACAAGTTTTCTTGTTTGTGAAGGAAACTGCAAATGAAATTTAGCTAAAGCTAAATGCCAAACATGGGTCCAGTTTAGGCTGAACAAGCTGCTGTGCCTAAAACCAGCAGAAAGTGCTTTGCAAAGAGGAAAATTAAAAAGCTCCAAAAAGCTTAAAAATTTAAAACTAAACAAAACCTACTTTTTCCCCTCTTACAGCAGGAGTCTTCACACTTAACTCAAGGTAAAGCAACTTTAGAGAAAGGCTCAGGGCAGTTTCAGCTCATTGGGGAAGGACTGCTGGACTAACACTGATCCCTCTTTCCAAACTGCCAGATGTCATTCTAACACTTTAAACACACCAGTACTTTTCCAAAAATATAAACTAAAAAGGATCAAAATGTATTTTACTATACTATTCCATCAGATTCACATTTAAATTAAACTGATTCTTCAAAGAAAAATATAAAAACTTAAAATAAATATCTATGAACGAATGTATTATTTTAAATAACTCCTGAAATATCATGTTGAACTCAAATTTCAGGTTTTAATTTTAGGACCTCTTCAAGATTAAATCCCAGGCCCACTTAAGGTCAGCATGCAGTTTACCTCCAATTACCCCTGACGGCCAACAAGGTGCCCCTGCTATCAGATTTGACTGCATTCACATCAAGGACCATCCGAGCACGGCCTAATTGCGGGGGAACGATGCTGATCGGGGGGGGCCTTACCGATTCGATGGGCTTGTCTAGAGACGCCTGCTCTATCTCCAGGTGCCCCTCTTCATACTGATCAAAGTGATTGCCCTGCAAGAGAAAACCAGGGTCAGCTCCACAGCACAGCACACACCTCCAACAGTTTCGTGTCCAGACAGGTTTGGTTACAGTGTTATATTTCATACCATTTTGCTAACAAATGAATTTGTTAAATACAAGGTCCATTTAGTGTATCTGCTATAAGGACAAAAAACCCCCTAAAAACTAAGTCAATTTGAAGACAGTCATTAACTATTAAAGTTGGCAAAATACCAAACATTTACAATGACAATACTTCTGGATGTTTTCCCTTAGAAAGAAAACACTGAGCATGCACACCAGTGCCAGCATGGAAACCACACACGACAAGGAGCAGCAGGAATGGATGTCCCCAGCACTAGAAAGCTTTACTGGCACCAGGGATTTGCTTGAGGGATACATGTGATTTCACACACCTCAAGCCAACAAAGCCCCACAGTGGTACCAAAGGAATCCTGTCCCTGTGCCCACACTGCTCATCCATGGTGTGGAGCAGCCCTTCCTACAAATCTGAACCATGATGTGTCCATGGAAGTGATCCCCCAATACATCACAAACCCTTCAGTCCTGACTCCAAGCAGTCCCCCTGCCAGCTGGCCACCATCCTCCTAGGAAAAATTGCATCTTCCCATGTTTTTGGGTGGATACTGAGCATTCAGGTTCCTGAGCTAGGAAGGCAATGGCAATCTCCGTTCTCCAGAACAAGTGCTGGTGCTGAAGTACACCAGTGAAGAGCCATTTCAGGAAAAAAAACCACCTCTACTGCAGCTCTGCCATAATTTGAGGTTTCTGAAACCTCAAATTCCTGAGATTTCAAACATGGTAAACCATTTTTAGTTGTTCAATAGCTCCATGATGCAACACATCCACTATCACTAGCACAGACTTGGAAAGAAAACACTCAGACTTTCCAGCTGCAAACTCAGAAGTAAAAGAGGTGAGATTCCTGCAGCTGGGATGAGAACAGAAGCCACTGGAAGTGGTAGTTTCAGTGGGCTCTCCTACATTCCCAGGCCCTGCTCAGTGTCAAAGGAACCCCAGGAAGTGACAGGCCTTGGCTGTCACCCCCCACACCGCCTCAGGCCCTGCAGTGCCACTGGAACCTCTGGCTGCTCTGTGCACTCCAAACCCCTGGCAGGTTCTATTTGCATCCCAGCTCCACAATCCCTTGGAGCAGGAATACACAGCACTGCTGCCAAGAGAAACATGTTGTCACCCTCCTCCTTCCACCAATACCAACTTTTCCTTCTGCAAGAATTTTAATGGAAGCCAGCACATGAAAGAGCAAACTGCAGTTGTAACAGACTGACAGTTGGAATATTACAAGCCAGGCACAAGCCTCCAAAAATCCTCTGGAAGGAGTATTCCTATGCAGCAATGCAAATCTGCAAGGGAACATCTTGACTAAAACCTGCTGCCAAGAAAAGGTGCTTTGATGCTGGTGCCTCAATTTCCAGCCCATCCATCATCTGCAGGCCCTGGTGGTAAATTCACCCTGGCCATCCTCTGCTCCCAGGGGTTGTCTTTCCCATGGCCTCTCCAGAGTGAATTTGGGGTTTAATCTGCAGGCAGCAATCCACTCCCACTCTTTTTTTTTTTTTTTTTGGACAGCCTTCAAGGAGCAAGCTGAAGGCAAACTTACTATGCACAAGCAGTCATTGAGCTGCTTTGGAAGGCTAACAATGCTCAGAGACAGCGTGGTGTGGATGCACAGACTTTGTGTGTGAGGAGTCCAGCGGCCCTCAACAAAACACACCATAAACCTGTCTCAGTGGTTCAGGGACAGCCCAGCCTCCCAAAAAATAGTGCACAAGAGAACCAGCGCAGTCAGGTGTGCACATGCTGTCAACACTGGCAAAAACACATTGCTAAACTTCATCTATTAAAACATTAAACCCACATATTGTTCAGCTAACCAACAGCTGAAACTCTCTCAGCACAAACCCAGACACATCCCTGTGCCTCCTTTCCCCCACTGCCTGCAGGGAGCTCAGCACGCACCACTAAATTACCTACCTGGAACAGCTAAATACTCCTTCCCACTCCCCAGCTCCTCTGGTGGGCTGCCTGCCAAGGCACTGAAAGCTGTTTTTCCAAGGCAAGGGTCAATCGCAGTTCGAGGGCAGCACGCCTTGCTGCTCTGAGGCTTCACAAGTCACTTTTTCGGTGCTTCAAACATCTCCTCCCTGAAACTATTAAAAAGGCTGAGCACACCCTGTGCCACGGCCAGAGAATCAGAGAGCAAACAAACCTTTAAGTTCTGGTGACCCCACCACTACCCACTCCATGTATTTTGGGGGTTATTTTATATATTCATATTCTTTGGAGTTTATTATGTCCTTGATCTCTACTTGTTCCTGGTCCAAACAGCTGCAATACTAAAACTGGAGCTTCCCAGGGAGGCAGGTGCTGCCTGTCAGCTGGAAGTCCTGGGCATAAAAAGGCCATGGAGCACAGTGAACAGGCCCCTTGGGAATGCTGCCAGCCTGCTCCTGGGTCCAGAGGGTGTTCCAGGCTTGGAGATTCAACGCTTCAAAATAACAAAGTGTCCAAACGGAGCTGAAATCAATACTCATCACAGAAACTGTTTGTTTTTTATCAATATTTAGAATAAAAGATGAAGGGAAAATTCCTTTCCACGATAAAGCAGCTTATCCTGGAAAAAGGCAAGGAGACAATCCAATGGTTACTGTGAGGTTGGATTTATGGGGGTTCAGGCCAGTGATATTTAATCAGGCAAGAGAAAAATGGTTCTATGGCTATAGCCACAACAATGCTGCTTGCCTTAACGTTGATCCCAGGCCTTTTGGAGGCAACACAGTCCCTTTGCTTCTTCATCCCTGGAACTGGCTAAGGAACAAGTTGGGGGCAATTTCATCTGTTTCCCTCTTTTCCCATCTTACAACCTGGAGCATCAAATGGATCCATTAAACACTTCTGTTTTGCTGTACCTTAAGACAATTAATCAGAAGAACACAAAATACTTTAACACTTAAATCCAACAACTAATTAAACCCTAAATGCTGAGATGTTGAGAACACATTTCTGGCAAACACAAACCCCAAGCACTGACCATGTTTCAGTATGATTTTAAAGTGTGTCTTCTGCAGACTAGAGGGATGCTTCCCACTTCAGAGGAAACTTTTATGTGAAAAGAAGGATTCAGTTCCTTGGATTCAACCCCATAGATACTAGGACATGAAATAACAGCTGCATAAAACCCAGGACTACTCAAAACCCATTCACAAATCTTCTTCCTGTATGACTGTAACAGAGATGCAGTAAATTCCCAGCCCTGGGAGCTAATGGCAAAGCTTCCACCTGCTCCTGTGGACAAGGATTTTGGGGCTGACAGCAGCACCCTCCTCCCCCTCATCCTCTGCCCCTCCAGCTGTTTGTATCAGGGTCTTTCACTTCTGCTTTGTGAAACAAGATATGTTGCACTGTCCCTTTCTCACAGACACTACTCCATCCACCCTGGAACAGCAGAGCAAGTAAGATGAGAGGCTTCCACTTAAGCAGCATTTATTGCTCTCACTTTGTGCTACATTGAGTGCTCCGACACTGGTGCTTCCCTAGAACCACACTGAAATTCAATATATTTTCCTATTTCATGAGAAGCAAGGACAAGCCTCCAGCATGCAAACACTCCTCATTAACACACCACACACACCACTTGGCTTCCTAGTGCATTCATCTCCAGGAGCCAACATGTTTGTGCCCTGTAATTTTTGTGTAATATCATCTGAACTTCGGCTCTCTATGCACTCTGGTTACTCACAGTCACATGCTCTCTCCTCCACTTTCCCATTGTCTGATCTTTGCTCGGAGCTCTTGGCCAAACCTTCTCAGAGCCCTCACACACTGAATATGGCATTTGAAAGATCAACTTCCATGCAGGATTTCAACTTTTGTTCTCCCTTTTTTAGACTGTAAATACTTTGGAGCCCTGGCCCAACAAATGCCATTTTGTCCCAGATCATACCGAGTGGAGTTACTGCATTTCCTGGGACAATTTAAGTTAACAGCTCAGGGGAAGAGCATTGCTGCTTCTTTCCTACTTACAAGGTCCCAAACATTGTGGCAGTGAAACCAAACTCAGTCAGCATCATAAAAAAAATTTAAGAACTTAATTACACTTTCATCCCAAAATCCTTAGTGACAAGAACTGCTGCCAATAAATCACTCAATGCAAGTGAAATGAATTGTTGATTAAAGTCCATTTATCACAGTTTAGTACCACAGAATTCACTGCCTCTACATGAAGCACCTCTTCAGGAAGGTGAATTACATAAGACATATAGACAGAAATCACTAAGAGGGGGAATCCTTTAACAGCATCTTAACAATGATGAGCAGAAGAAAACATGCTCTCTCCTTCCCTCTCACACCCCAAAGAGTGTATCCAAAACCAGAGCTGGGTCATGAGCACTGCACTTCTAAGTCACCTAAAGCACCACCAGCACAATGACAAAAGGAAGATGAGTCACTTCAACTGCTTTAGGCCCATCGGAACTCCCTGGATATTAATTACTGGACTGCTCTGTGCAATCTGGCCAAGCACAGAGCGTATTAAGATGTCAGCATGCAGAACACATTCCATACAGTGCCCATTCCTGATGGGAATGAGTGGTTTCTTTGATGAACAGCCCTAAGTTATCCATATATCATACCCAAAGAAAATGCAGCATCCTGCAGCCCAGCAGCTGGGCTGGAGCTGAGGACACGGAGCAGGACACAAAGGAGCAGGACAACGGAGCGGGAGCGCGGTGGATCCTTTCAGGATGCCTCCACTCAGCTGTCCTTGGGCTCCTGCTCCAGCAGAGCCCCAGCACACCAGCCTGGTGTTATTAACTCCAGAGAGGATAAAGTGAGTTATAAGCCCAATACAAGGCAGATAGCAAGAGCCTAGGATTAGAAAACACTGCCTGCTCCAACCACAGGCACATCACCTTCAGCAAAGTGAACGGAGCAAAATAGGAAAAGATTGTGGCATAAAACCCTGCAGCTCT